ACACTTCCTAGTCACAACTGTTAGATCTTCGAATGAAATATCTTTTTTAAACATGTTGTACAGCAGATTGTTTCACTTAAACATTTACTGTGATCAAGTTTCTACTTTGAAGACAGATATTGGAAGATAATAGCGATATTTTTTCTTCCGAACTTTTGAAACTGCACAGACAGACAGATTAGCAAGTTCATACTAGTCAGATTTACCAGAATAGACAAACCATTGAATGTGTGACCAGAACTGTGTCAACCAGGATGGTAGGCTGGCCTGCACGCTCAGAAACCCTTTTGAACGTCGCCTTTTGAACTACTGAATCTATCAAATTGGACTTTACAGGTTTCATCAACATCCAAAGCTTTTTATCATTTGTAACTAAGATGTTGTTACAGTACTTTTTTATGCCTGCAAGAAATCACACACTATTTTGAAAAACATGACCCATCATGCAAACTACTCTTGCTCAAAATCTGTTTGGGCAATTAACTCTAAATTGTACATCTCTAGCTTCAACAGGATGAATGTATAAACCATAATGCCAGTCTGACTATCTTTTTCTTTGTACTCATGCTAATGCTGTTTAAAAACCTCTTGGGCAATTAAATCTGAGAGTGGTAAGTGCCATTCTAGTGAGAATACCATTAACAGTTGACTGTTACTGTCATCCTTGGATATACTGTACCACATACCATACACAAGTACCATTTTGTTCTTGAAACTCTGTGTCTGTTTTGTGAACTGCTACACTGATTGGATTAAAACCTGGTAGATTTCATGAGCATCAAAAGCCGCGTCTGTCATGCATAGCTGTGATATGTTCTCAAAATTCAAATTGTCATAATTTAAGGAGCCATTACACACTGATTGACTTGAAACAGCAGGTTTCATCACACCTAGATATTGCTTCCTAATTGTGCCTCATTGATTGCAATGGTACTTTATATACACCGCACATGTAATCAAGCGATTTGCAAAATACACCCCAAAACATTATTTATTCTTTGCCAAATCTGTTTGGTTTGGTCATTTAACTCCAACTTTAAAATATACAGAAGCAACAATGCAATTATAGTATAATGAAATAGGATTTCTGTACTACCCAGGTGACAGCCTGACTGCCATTTTTGTTTTCTTGTTAATACACATCCTATACTACAAACTGCTCCTTTGAAAAAACTGTTAAACTACTTAACTGCAAACTTGGCAGTTAGTATCAAAAGTATAATTCCAGTGGCAATCTGATGGACATTTGTCAAAATGGGGCTCCTGAATCACTATTATTATCAAGCTTCAAACTACTGCTGTTGAAAAAGCACTCTTAAAGTATGCTTCAGGTTTATCACCCTAAAACCGGGTTCAGACTTGCTTCTCACATGTTGTAGGTAAGGGACGCTTTTCACATCCACAGCAGGCAGCGGGCACCCAAACCTGACAGTGTTATTTTAATTTCCCTCTGGGTTTTCTCCCAGTTCACTCACACTTTTAAAGTTAGTCAATAAGGATTTGCCTGGAAGCTTTCAAAAATGCTTAACATTTTCTAGATTTATGTATGCAATCACCAATTATTATTTTTATACTGTTCCAGTTAGGCATAGCCTAACTTTACCAGTTCAGGCATCACAACATTCCTGGATGGGTAAAGACCAAGCTTTTAAAATGGCACCAATTCATTGGCACCTACTGTAGTAGACCCACAGCCATCCAGGGTAGCTGGACACTTCAAGAGAGAAATGTTGCAGTTTTCAGTAGCAACATTACAGGGCCCCAAGCAGTCAGGCATGTATCAAGGC